GTCCTTGTCACAGTTACATCAATAATACTGACTTTCCATCAGAATTTAGATTATTTTAATTGTACAGTTTTCTACTGAACTACACTTAGTTAGTTCTCTATATCAGTGGGGGTCTTGAAGTGGTAATATAAGTAGTTATATGTTGTGTGTGTGTGTGTGTTGTGTGTGTGTGTGTGAATTAACAATTTTGAGATTTATTTAAATAATGCAAGACATTTTTAAATGTAATATGCACGAGATGCGACTTTTATTAATGGTAAACACCTTTTCCACTGTAGTAATAAACTGTTTTTATTATGAAGACAAACTAAACATTGTTTAAAACATCTCTGTATTTATCATCAATAACATCAACATAACACATTCAAAATCAAACTTGGACAAGCAACACTGAAATCATCATGTTATCCTTAATACTACCCACAATATATTTTCATAGTTCTTATAACAAAGTATTGTTTTAATAACTATTAATAGACACCTTAAAGACAAATTAAAAATCAATAAAAATAAAAGATCATAGGAGCTGGAAAATTAAGATATTTTTCTCCAAGCTTAAAACTTAATTAATCAAATAAACATTTGTTTAATTTCAAACAGATTTAGTTCTTCATTCAAGGTATGATTCAATAAATTTAAAATGTTTTTTTTTTTGATGAACTAAGCAAGGTCGTAATTTCCAGTATTTTCTGTATGAAACCGTCTATAAGGTTCAGTTTCATCTTTCATACAGCTAGACAAACTGACATGCTTCGTGTTGTTTACATTCTCTTCAGCCTAATCACGCTAAGCTGTACAGTCTTCCTGACTTAAGTTACACAGTAAACAGGTGTGTGTAATGCTCGAAACATGTCATAAACCACAGTCAATAGTCACAAGTTATATATGTGACTGTATTTTATTCATTAACCAGTTATATGTTGCCAGCTTATATAGACTGTGATATTATTCATCACGTACTCTTTTATCAAATAGTACTCAGCCCAACATAATTTACGATTTTACAAACAAATTAACCACACATACGGAACCAAACACCCTAAGCTGTACCCAAACACATGAACTAAGCCCAGAACTAAGAAAATAATTTAAGAAACAAATATATAATTACATAATTCAATCTAAATGAAAGAGATACAAACTTTTACTGGCTACACTAAATCATCTACGACTTCTTTCGATGTAAATTACCATTTTAAAAAATAAAATTTTACAGTGTTATGTTTAATAATGTCAGTAATATATCTATTTCTTACTTTTGTTTTTATATTTAAGTGAAAAAATACACATGTACGAAATATTTGTATTATCCGAGTAAAGTGTACACTTTAAAAATTAAATTAGTGTTCAATATTATGGCAGTGTTATTATTAAAGTAATAAATCAGCCACCAAAAAAAAAAAAAAAGTTTCATTTATTTGGAGTTTTTGTAATTTCTGACAAGTGCTAAAATTTATCCACAACCATTTCACTGCATAGATATCGGGAAGAACCAACCTAGTACCCCATCCAGCCACTGAGTGTGTTTTTTGATTAAATATTTTTGCCAATTATTGTTGCTATCTTGTTGTAAACAACCGAGTACAAACTGTCTTTCAGACTCACAATTACAAGGAAATTTATCACAAAGTTCATGAGCCAATTCTATCCTGGACTTTTTCGAGCACTTGGAGTAAAGTTCACGTTTGAAAAATGGCTGTAACAAGTTTATGTTCTGATGCTGTGCTACAAGAGACAAAATGCACCGACGATGATACCAAAGTGTCTCGTGTCCAGGATAACGTTGGATTAGATCTGATGTCAGCTTCATTTCTTTACCTAATAACTGGCATACCAGAGGGTGAGAACTACAACCAACACCCGTTACTTCTGTAAAAGGCGACCTTGGTGAAGATCTAACAGAAGAATGACCGATACCTTCAACCGACAGCAGGTGCCGACACAGATGGCCAATTAGAAATTGGCGGTAATGAAAACCACTGTGATCCGATACATGACAACATACCCAATCTTCAGTTTTCTGAAGGTCGTTTAGCACCACCTGATGATACAGAAGACAATATAGGTAACTAAAATTTCACTTAGACATCACCAGCCTTAGAGAAAATATTCTACTTATTTCATTAAAGAAAATTTTGTGTAAAACTGTTCAAACTTGTTCTCTAAACACATTTGGAGCACCAATACTAATTTTCAAAAACATTTACTACTTAAATATAAACACTACCCTGTTCTTGACCAAGAATTTGCTAACAAAAGATGAGCAAACAAATATAGTTTATTCTATTAAAACTTGCTACTGAAAGGTATTATTATTATTACACTAGACTGAAACAGAATCTGAAGAAACTTTTTTGATTCTTTACTTCTCATAACTTTCGATTTATTGTACGTTTTACAAAAGAAAACGAGTCCTTGCAGTAACTGTATATTACCTGTGTGATGTCTTTAACAAGGTGCTGAACAACCCAAGCACGATGACTCCATGCATAATAGTTACAAGGATAGCGACTGGCAGCCTCTTGACAGAGATCAAACTCTGAATCAATTACATTTCTTGGCATAGGATTCTGGTCTGTTGGCTTCAGTTTTAACAAGAGCCACCTCCTGTGAAAGATTTATGAAACCTTTACACCTATGCTGAGTAAATGTGAAATTAAGAGAAACTGACTCTGATAAATAACTACAGTAATCATCATGTTTGATACCACATGGAATTTCTAAGTGTTAAACTGCTTCACACTTATAAAAACAAGTGTCCACATAACATATATTAACACTAATATGTCTTTGTGTGTGTTCATTTGATGCACCTGTTGTATGGTTTGTTTTACTGAAAAAAAAAAAACTAAATGAAATAGTTTGAAACTTGACATGAACTTCTTACAGATTATGAAACTTTTACAAATTAAAATAGATTTTTAAATATGACATTTGCATGAATTCTCAGTCTTAAAAATTCAAAAAGATTTCATTCTGATATATTTAAAAACTACTGATTTCTTGGTCTTCCTACACTCAGGTAAAACTTTCCAAAAAGAATTGTTACTTTATAAAACTAAATTTGATCTTTGTTTTCAATCTAACAACATCTCATACAGTTTCACTGATTGTAAACAACAATAACTTAACCAGAGTTATAAGCAAGCTTTTCTTTAAACTGTTAATTAGGTTTCATTTAAAATATATAATACATTTGACACCTATCTTATATTCATTTGTTTTCAGCAATTCTCATTGCCCATGCAAGCAGTTATCTAGATTAATAAGCCCAAATGTAAACACAGCCTAACAGACAGTGGCCTCGTTAGCAAACAAAACTATATGGTTGAGTGCGAAGTGACGTAACTAACCCTATCTCATCGCGTTTCAAGAAAATCATTTCCTTCCAGATGGCAACATTATCATTTTATACTTCATTTGAATTATGTAGAAGTTTTTCTTTAAAAAGAATCATGACCGTAACTGGAAAAGATTGTTCACAAACACTTTTTCTTCTAGCAATGTATCACCAAGCTAAGTTTTTATCACATTGCTCCAATTTCTGCACGAGTCTTTGCTAAACTGGAAGTCATAATGACTTATGCAGTTGAAAAGAACATACAAAGAGCTTTCATTACACGTTCAGATCACTGGCCTACGGGTTCTCAAACGTAAGATATAGACAGTTACATTATGCCATAACAAGAGGCTGAGAAACTGCGATTGGTTTAAATCGACAGAATTACACTTCTACTGAAGTTACAGAGGTACTGGTGCTAATTAAACTTCTACTGAAGTTATAGAGGTACTGGTGCTAATTACACTTCTACTGAAGTTATGTAACTTCAGTAGAAGTGTAATTAGCACCAGTACCTCTATAGTATTTCAGCAACTGGTGATACTAAATCACATGTTTGTTTGTTTTTTATTCCGTAGAAAAGAAGTCGTTAGCAAGAATCAAAAAATTGAAAATGATATGAAACTGACTGCGTTGATTTTGTCTCGTAAACCTAAGTGTCTGGAAGTTTTTGGTCACAGGTATGAATTATTCACTCATCCTGTCACTAAAGTTTTAGTTTTTCCTCGTCTATATTTTAGACAACAGCTTGTTCACTTCTGTTGCTATGTGTGAATGTTGAATTTTGAAGAGGGTGACTAGTCGAAATATTTTGATTTACCTTTCATACTTAACTGCATCTTCCTTGAACAAATCGTGACCAATGGCTTAAAAGAATGGTGTTTTTTTTAAGGAATCCCTTCAATAAATTATTCAACCATGTTGATTCTAAAATGTTATAACCTTTGAACTATACGACTAGCTGATGGGGTGGGGGGTCCTTAGTATAAAGCAAGTTGCTACAATGTAAAATTGTATTTCATCCAAACTCACAATTCTATTTATAATTCTTCCAATCTTAGTTGTTGGTTCTTGAGAATTTGATCAATAACATGTAATTTTGTAAGTAACTTTCTTGACAAATATTTTAATTATTTCATTTTAATATAATAGTGTAACAGCTTTTCACATCAACTCTGTAACTTATCTCTTCAGTATTTGGTTGGGTCCACCTTTCTCCAAGATTGTATCACTGAGTTACAGAAAATAAACTTGTTCTTCCACATAAATATGAGTTGAAATTTATTCAGTAGGAGTTTTATTTATTTAATTTTATACATAAAAAATGTAAACTAATCTCTTAATTAGGTTTTGTGTGATGAAAACATTAACGTTTGTGAATTTCCTGAATTTTTCTGATAATTATATGTACTCGTATCCTCCTAGGAGGAAAATCAAAATACTTTTCAACAAATTAGCACCAGTACCTCTAGTATATAACAGTTCTGAGAGTGACAACCTAACCTTGTTAGTGTGTAGATCTTGACAATATATAACAGTTCTGAGTGCAACCACCTAACCTTGTTAGTGTGTAGATCTTGTCAGTATATAACAGTTCTGAGTGCAACAACCTAACCTTGTTAGTGTGTAGATCTTGACAGTATATAACAGTTCTGAGAGTGACAACCTAACCTTGTTACTGTGTAGATCTTGACAATATATAACAGTTCTGAGTAGTGACAACCTAACCTTGTTACTGTGTAGATCTTGACAATATATAACAGTTCTGAGAGTGACAACCTAACCTTGTTACTGTGTAGATCTTGACAATATATAACAGTTCTGAGAGTGACAACCTAACCTTGTTACTGTGTAGATCTTGACAATAATATCTTTTCAGGAAGTAAAGAAGGCAGTATTTTGTTCAACTAATACTTATTTGAAAGTTTAAATAAGTTCTTCATAGGCCTACATTATTTGTGTTGCTTTACTTAGAATACTATTTACGATGAAACTCCTAATTTAAAATGTTTACGGCTCTCGTCTAGCCTTCCCATTTACCCATAAAATATCTTGTACTTAGGTGAACAGTTAAGTATGATATATGTATTTCTGCTGAAATATTCTTTTCAAATTTAAGAAGTTAAAACATGTCCGTATATGCTTGTAAAGATTTTAATTATAAATTTTATTTCTACTCTTAGTATCTTTAACATTTATTGTGTAACTATATTATTGAATTATCCATAAGAACATATTGCTATTTTAATATCTTAGTTTTGTATAAAAACAGCTGAAATTTAATATTGTTAGTATGTTGCAGTTAGAAATATGAAAATCAATAAACTTTACTGATAAGAAATCGTACCGTAAAAGTCAGGCTAGTAGTTACATTAATAGGTATACTTTTACTTACGTCAAGATCTACACACTAACAAGGTTAGGTTGTTGCACTCAGAGCTTTTATGAAAAAATCTAACTTAATTGTTATATATTGTCAAGATCTACACACTAACAAGGTTAAGTTGTTGCACTCAGAACTTTTATATATTGTCAAGATCTACACACTAACAAGATTAGTTTGTTGCACTCAGAATTGTTATATATTGTCAAGATCTACACACTAACAAGGTTAGGTTGTCGCATTCAGATGTGATAATAATATTGTCAAAATCTACACACTAACAAGGTTAGGTTGTTGCATTCAGAACTTTTATATATCGTCAAGATCTACACACTAACAAGGTTAGTTTGTTGCACTCAGAACTGTTATATATTGTCAAGATCTACACACTAACAAGGATAGTTTGTCGCACTCAGAACTGTTATATATCGTCAAGATCTACACACTAACAAGGTTAGTTTGTTGCACTCAGAACTGTTATATATTGTCAAGATCTACACACTAACAAGGATAGTTTGTTGCACTCAGAACTGTTATATATTGTCAATATCTACACACTAACAAGGTTAGGTTGTCGCACTCAGAACTTTTATCAAAAAATCTAACTTAATTGTTATATATTGTCAAGATCTACACACTAACAAGGTTAGTTTGTTGCACTCAGAACTGTTATATATTTTCAAGATCTACACACTAACAAGGTTAGGTTGTCGCACTCAGAACTGTTATATATTGTCAAGATCTACACACTAACAAGGTTAGTTTGTTGCACTCAGAACTGTTATATATTTAAGACCTACACACTAACAAGGTTAGGTTGTCCCACTCAGAACTGTTATATATTTTCAAGATCTACACACTAACAAGGTTAGTTTGTTGCACTCAGAACTGTTATATATTTAAGATCTACACACTAACAACGTTAGTTTGTTGCACACAGAACTTTTATGAAAAAATCTAACTTAATTGTTATATATTGTCAAGATCTACACACTAGGTTAGTTTGTTGTACTCAAAACTGTTATGAAAAAATCTAACTTAATTATTTTGTTTTTCAATCACCTCTACAACTCACCTAATATTCCAAGCAATCTGTAGGTCAGGGTTAAGCAGCAGCACGGCTTGGGTCCACTGCAACAGGAGCTCTGTGTCTGAGGGTAAGGGCCTATAAATAACGTTTCACTGATCACATAGCTAAACCATAAGATAAACTAAACCCCAAATGAGAACAAGTCTTTACTTTCTACAGCTATCTAGATTCAAGGTTTCGTATTTCAGTTCTTTGTAAAATGTTACTTTCCCACCTTACTTACAAACCATGTTAAAGTGGTTTAAATGTTGTTCTCTTGGGAATGTTACATAACTGTTGCCCCATTTTAAATTAAGTTATCAGCAACTTACAAGTGAATTATATCTTCATGTCAAGAGGCAAACTTCTGTTACTGTCTTTTCATCTTTTAACAATGGTTCGTTTGGAATATCACACAAAGCTACACGAGAACTATCTGCACTAGCCGTCCCTAATTTAGTAGTGATACACTAGAGGGAAGGCAGCTAGTCAACATCACTCACCACCAACTTTTGGGCTACTCTTTTACCAACAAAAAGTGGGATTGACCATCACATTACAATGCTTCCATGGCTAAAAGGACGAACATGTTTGGTGACAAGGATTTGAACCCCCCCCAACCACCAGGTCACTTTTAACAATGGAGGGGAGGAATGGGGTTAATCTTTTGAGTTATTGAGCTGCAATAACTTGAAAAGCTATGCCACATGCAAGATTTATTTTTCTTGGGGGGGGGGGGAAGAGTTCTATTACATTTTTATCAAATAAACTGATTAACATAAGCGTTTTCTATTTGTTTACCTAGTTAAACCAAACCCTGTGAAAACTAATGGAATGTTTCCAACAAACATTTTCTAACAGTATAATAGCAGCGAGTTTTACTCTTAAGGTTTTTAAAACCAAACCAAACTGATCAGCTTGCATTTAGAAGTTTCAAGCTTATTCTATAAAATATATGAATATGTTATCAAAGCTAAAATTAGATTACTGTTAAGGAGTTATGTAATAAACTTTAAAAGACAAATAGGTTATCAATTACAAGAGCGTAAGATAGTCTAAAATAAGCTTAGTTTCTTTTATACTAACATAGATCTTTGTAAAAAGTTGGTAGGATAATGAACCTTAACTTCTAATGTCTAACAAGGGGCTCATCTGAGCTATCCAATTTTCTACTAACAATCTAGAGAAAACCTTTTAAAATAACCAATTCTGAACTTAAATTTCTCTTAAACTTCTTCAATGTTTCAGAATTTCTACTACTTTCACAATCAAATTATCCCCCAAAAAGTAATACTGCCTTAAATAAAGATATGTCCTAGTTTTCCATATCTTAAACTTGTGTCCTCTAGTCTTTATTGCCTGCAGTTTATCTAAATGTCATCAGAAGCTATGGATAACAATTGTTTAACAGTCTTAAAAACAGTTGTATTTCTCCAAAAAGGTGGTAAATCCATGGGGAAAAAATTTGATTAGTCTTCCGTTTGTTCAGAGAGGTTGGGAGTGAGGACATCCTTGATGGGTCAAAATGCCTCCCAATCATTCATCTTTCCAGCAAAAACGTGCTTGGAGATTAACTGATCCCCATATAATAATCCCTCTAAACCTGGAATTATTCAGGTAGTTCTTCACTTAACATTGTCCAACAACCTTTCTTAAGGTAGCATTGACCCTTAAAACTGGGCATGCTGAAGAAACACTGTTAAACACTTCTTACAACCTTCAACTTGAGCACAAAACTAAAGTATGCTGTTTCAATATCTGATAGTAACTTTCAGTCATATATGCATAATTAATATGGCAGGGATAAAGAAATACATAACACAAACTGTTTTAACACCATAACTTTACTTAGGAATGATAAAAACGTGAAAATCGATACACGTGCCATTTGTGAACATCTTAATAGCTTGAATTAAAAACTTTGCAAAATGTCTGCAATGTTAACATATTATGGACAATTAATACCTTCATTAGTAGTAATTAGACTCATAACAAGACAATTAATAAAGATTTTTTTAATTAAAAAAACTTTAAACTATGGAAGAGTGTAATATCAACAAGTTTGCTAAATTTCATACTGATATTGGCTTTAACGGTGAAGTTATCATGTTAATAAATTGGTGACCGCAGTGAAAACCGAGTTTTGAGAAAATTGCCGTTAAAGTTTTTCTGCACTTAAATGTCAGTAAGCGTTTAGTAAATGTGTGCATGCACCACATTTAACGGTGTTTCTTGAGCAGGTAAATTGGCCAGTTTTAAGGGTCACTGCCACCATAAATAAAGTGACCAAAACTGAATACAATATTCAAATAAGGTTTAGCCAACTGCATATAAAATGAACCAAATCACACACTCGGTATTTTACGTACTCTACCTTTTTTGTTTTACTATCTGGCATGATCATTATGAATACGCTAGCTTATGTACCCGTTCAACGTGCGAGGAAGACACAGGGGGGCCAGAACCAGTTTGCATGTTTTCAGCATCAATTTGTCTTCTTTTCTTCATCAGCTTCACTGGACCATGTTTTCAGTTACCCTAAGTTTCGATTCCTTGATTTTGTCATGCCACCCATCTGCTTTTTCTTTTCTCTTGTTAAGTGACATTTTCTTTCTTGCACTGTTTCTGACTTATTTTGATTTATTCAGAGTTTTAGTTTAGAATTTATTTCATAGACATTGTTAGAAGTGTTCAATTGAAATGAAAAGCTGAGGTGGCTTGATGTTGTAAACATGCTACCGTTTAATTGAAATGTTAACCAATATCTCAAATCATTGATTGAATCTATAAGGGCATTGAAAGAACTTGCCGTAAATATGATCATTTATATAAAAAAAACATATTCGACCCCAACTCGACAGGGATTTGAACACGTGACTTCCATATGAAAGTCAAGTGCTGTAACCACTGAGCAATAGTGACATCCAGTATTTGAAACAGAGAGAAGGTAAGAAATATAAAGTTGAATATTAGAGATGTCAGGTTTAAGCTGCAAAAATCCAGTTGCAGGGGGGTAGTTATAAACTAGTGTATTGGTTGACAAATAATGTTATAACTGACACCGTATATTTAATACCATGTTGAATGGCACTCTGTAAAAGATTGTTGCATGTGCAATTTGACCCACAACATAATTAAACTTATTCAATGTTGCAGCTGCTAGCACACTTGAAGAAAAATTATTACATAGCAGGCCAACATTGAATAAGTTTAATTATGTTGTGGATCAAATTGCACATGCAACAATCTTTTACAGAGTGCCATTCAACATGGTATTAAATATACGGTGTCAGTTATCAAATACTCACTTTACTCTACACTGATAATTTAGTAAAGTTTATGGTAGAGGATAGTAAATACCAGACATGATATACAGGGATAGTGAAAAAAAATATAGATATGCATTTTGGAGGTTACGGAAATACAATGGATGAAAGTATTTCTATTCTCAACACAAATATCATTTTACACTCAAAGTTGTCAGAGTCAAACTGATGTCATCAATTCACAGAAATATCTGGAGTACAAATACTGTTATAACACATCTGATTTTTTGTGTCCAACAGATCTGTACATTTTACTAAAAGCTTGCCACAGATACATTTAGAAGGTTCTGAATTATAGTCAACATTCCAATACAGGCTCAATACATTAAGGTTAAGAGGAGATTTGACGAGAGCATTCTAAAGATCAAGGTTGGATAACAAATAAGGGGTTGTAGTAAAAAACGTGGTAGCTTAGACATGGCCGTGTAATTTAATGGTGAATATACTAGTTTTATGACACTAGGGTGAACTGGTATACAGATGCAAAGGGGTACATTTATTGGATTTGAGGTTTTGGTTACTTATTTTAGTGAGTGAGGGGTGATCTCCATGGGCCTTCTTATTGTCTAACATTATGTAAAGACAACATCTGTCTAATTAGCCATCTTAATACATCAAGAAATTGATTGTATCTTTCAATAAGGACAAATTTTTCTCAATTTTGTTTTGAAGATATAAGAGCACAAGTTATTTTTGATCAATCCCCCTTACTAAAATCAGACTTAACCTACATTCAGTGATTTTCATGATATGTGCTAACATATATATAAATAGTTTTATGGTTACCTGCTTCTTGTTGACCTTTCCTCCAACACATCAAACTGGAATAACAATACACATATAGATGTTTGACACACCAGCTCTCCAGCGCTACCTTGTGTTCAATGTGAATGATGGGACATTTGTTGATGACGGGGTCACTAACAGGAACAATGTCAAACTCGTCACTGTTCGGAGAAAATTATCGATGATAAGCTAACTTGGTTAATTCTACAAATACTTTTAAAACCCAAATATTATCTCACAAAGAATACATACACATAATTAAGCATTTGGGATATCAATCTTAGATACAATCATACACAAGTAAAATTATCTTTGATACTCATAAAATAAGGAAAAAAAAATGTCATTTTGGAGTTTTACAGTGGAAACCCATATAGGTTCTCTGCAAAAGAAGTCACACTGGAACTTTTTTACTTCATTAAATACTGAATTGGGACAAAAAGGAGAACAGCAATGGTGTATAATTACTTGGTGAAAATTAATATTTCCTAATGTTCCTTTTAATAACAAGGTTGACAACATTTGATGACTCCTACATTTTTAGCTCGTTGGAAAATATAATAAGGTTTATATACAACTGACCAATTGATGAAAATTTCCATTCAAAAGACAAAATAAGTGTGTGTTTAAATTACATAACAAGTTCTGTCTATACGCACGAGGTGTACATTACATAACAAGTTCTGCCTATATGCACGAGGTGTACATTACATAACAAGTTCTGTCTATATGCACGAGGTGTACATTACATAACAAGTTCTGTCTATATGCACGAGGTGTACATTACATAACAAGTTCTGTCTATATGCACGAGGTGTACATTACATAACAAGTTCTGTCTATATGCACGAGGTGTACATTACATAAGTTCTGTCTATATGCACGAGGTGTACATTACATAAGTTCTGCCTATATGCACGAGACGTACATTACATAAGTTCTGCCTATATGCACGAGACGTACATTACATAAGTTCTGCCTATATGCACGAGACGTACATTACATAACAAGTTCTGCCTATATGCACGAGACGTACATTACATAACAAGTTCTGCCTATATGCACGAGACGTACATTACATAACAAGTTCTGCCTATATGCACGAGACGTACATTACATAATAAGTTCTGCATATATGCACGAGGTGTACATTACATAACAAGTTCTGCATATATGCACGAGGTGTACATTACATAACAAGTTCTGCCCATATGTTATGTAATGTACACCTTGTGCATATAGGCAGAACTTGTTATGTAATGTACACCTCGTGCAAAGTTCTGCCTATACGCAC